AATAATAATAATAATAATAACGGTCAAATCATGTTTTAAAGAAGTAATGATAATGGCAATTTCATCTTTCACGAAATGAATGAAAACTGCATTTATTACCCCTTGAATGTAGATGTAAGGGTAAAAAAAAAGTTTGCATGATGACGTCATTTGAGTACCACTACCAAAATGCTTCGCGTGTATTTTCTTTCTTATTCAACTTTTTATTTCCTCGTGAGAATAGTAAGACATAATGCGAATGTCCTATTATAACTAAACGTAGACTACTAGGTCTATCTATTAATAACCACAGGGGGATCAGAAAAACAATTATCACCACATATCTCGCTGGCCCATCGACTTTCTTGAACAATTTTAGGATTTTACCTTGAACTCATTACCCTCAAAATCTCTTGTTATCTTATAGGAATTATAATTTTTGAGTGGTCAATACCTTGACCCTTTTATCTAGTATAGCGGGTCTTTACTGTGGTCATATCTGATGTCTATTTATAAATATTAACTTACGCATTTACATCGGGTTTGTATCCGAGATAAACCCAAAGAATAACAAAGAAAACCGTGTTAGGTCTGGTCACAACCGCATATACATATAAACTTTGAATTTATAATCAAGTCCTTTCCCCGACGTTTAACTTACTGTATTGCACTTGTACGAGTTTATTGATCACAAAAGGCTCTCGAATAACGAACCGTTCCAAGTATGAACTAATACTATGACCTCTAGTAAAAGTTCTATATTTAGATATAAACCCTTAATTTGTAATGAGAAATTTTTTCCCCTCGATGAGCAGGTTTGCAGAACCTACCCTGGCATGGCTCATAGCCAACCCCGTCACGTGGTTCAAAAAGGATGAGATTGATTCATTGAGAAAAAGGATGAGATTGATACATTGAGAAAAAGGATGAGATTGATACATTGAGAAAAAGGATGAGATTGATTCATTGAGAAAAAGGATGAGATTGATACATTAAGAAAAAAGGATTCGGGAAATACGAAAAAAGCAACAATATCCACCTATCTCTTTGCCGTGTTTTGAAAACACATTTGGCTATAAGCCAATATCTGTTGGCTTAGTTCAAGTCCACTCTCGATATGTAACTCTAACCTTTTAGATTAGCTTAAGAGTTTAAGCATTAGCTGGAAATAACTGTGGATTAATGAGAACACAAACCACCACGATGTGGAAAATACAAACTGCAAATATGGATCAAGTTTACCAATCATATTAGACAACCGCGGAAGTTCAACTATTCTTGGTTGTAGTGTTTGTTTTGTTATATCATTGTATAGTTAACTATGTTTAAAGCCGAGAATAATGGTATTGAAAAAGGCAGAAAAAAGTCGCTCTCAATGATAACCTTTTCTCCTTTGTTCTGTTGAAATATCAGCGATAGAAGAAGCTCAACAGAAGTAATCTATAATCCGGCGTCAGGTATATTGAACCAAGCTGATTCCCGTAATCACGTCGCTATCTGTCACTTCTTGAGCAATCTTTGTCCAGGGATGTTTACATAATTGTTGTGATTATGTGCTGTTAAATGATTTGTATGGTTGCTATGTTCATTCAATCAGCTTTCAATCAGTGGGTTCTTGAAGTTACTCCAAAAATTGTCACGCATTGTACTTCTTACAAAAGAAGAGTTTTCTTTGCCGTCATTGTAACTGGAATTCGAATTGAATACTTTTAAACTGCTTGTCCGATGATTAAAACATTATCTAGTTAAGCTACATATTGTTCCATGCATTGGTCTGTGTGTTGTTGTAATTACAGCGGAACGTGTGTAGTCTTCTTTCAYCCTTAATAATCTGAAAGACAATGGCACTTAACGGCTATTTCAATCAACGTCGTTATAGTCTTTTTAATGGTAAGCTCTTTTCCCCATCAAAAATATCTTAAACACATGTACTTCGGTACTTATATTATAAAGGACAGGGCTGGCTTAGAGATCGTGAAGGTGGTCAGGCAACCATTTAGCGCCAATGTTAGTTTTACAAATTTATCCCTTGTTTACATTCTTTGGTTTTTGTCAACCATCTATGGTCTTAATATGCTTGCTATTGGTTGTTATTCTCTGGTAATTACCACTTCTAACAGTAATAAAAACACAATATCACGGTCTTAAGGTGTTTTCTAAATCTTATATTCTTAGTAAAAGGTTCTCGATAACCGGCTTTTTTATTATCTCGAGAAGATGTCTTTGTCATGTGCAAAACTCATAACCTGCTGACGAGTTTTCTAAACAAACTTTCAGAGCTTGAATATCTTTCTGTTTCAATATCCACCTGATAACCTAAGATCCGGAAAATGCATCTGGAAATGCCATGGTCTGATTACCTTTGTTTTCCTTAATTACCGTGTTAATTAAGAAAGTTTTTCATTTGCCCTTGATGGCTGTAATAAGGTGGTTAATGGCAGTATTGACGACATAATGGATGCCTGAGGGTGGACAAAACCGCTCATGAAGAATTTTTCTCTTAGTGTAGGCTTACCCTAGAAGGGCTATTGTKCGAAGCTTTATAAAAAATATATGGAAAATACATTTATATATAGGCAGTGAAAGTCTGGTCTTTGCTATATTTGTATCTTTCCTTTTATCTCCTACTGTGGTGGTAGTACCCGTAGTATAAATATTTAATGGCTGCAAGGCCCGCTAAGACTCTCATGAATTTTCTGCTAAAATCATGAAGATACCAACATTTTCAGTTTTGAGGCGATGTATTACTGTCTGCACCGTGGCCGATTAATCGGATGGCCCAGAGATAAAAATATCACACGAAGCCTGAATGTACGAGTTTCGTGTACTGTACATCTAATACAACTAGACAATACAAGAATTCATAACAGACAGGACTTATCTGTCATCCTTTGGATATTTCAGCTCATTATGGATAGACAGTATCCCTCCTTAGCTCAAGACAAATTAYTTGTATACGAAATCAAAACTTTGAACTTATTCTTGAAATGTTAAACGAATGTCTCGTATAATAAAAGAATAAAAGAAGTCAACAATAATGTCAGGATTATTATTATCCAAGATACAAGAAGAAAACTTCTTCAAGGATGTAGTTATTTCTGGTGTATTTTGTCACATTTTGTCTTATAGAAGCAATAGGAGTCATTGATAAGAGATTTTGATATGAATCAAACCCTCCTTCAACAGAGAACCTCAAAGATAAAACAATGCAATATCCCTACCTGAAAACAGAACTCCAAACCAGAACAGCAAAAAGAATAAAGTAGAGTAAACACGATTCTTCATTATCTAAATATCCGTGAACTCCATACAGATAAGAATGTTGTGGTACACTTTACTGATATAGGTAGTCCAACAATGTTACAACAAGTTGACTAGTTTCGTAATCCAAAGAGCAGTAAATTCAATACTAGTTATCTCGATGATGTTAGTTTGTGGTCAGTGATCCGTCGGTAACCAGCACTAGAAATGTTTTCTCCAGAATCCACTCAGTTCCATCTTCGTGTGGTTTTCAACTATTGACACTAGACTGGATAATTAGCAAAGTTTTGTAGCCGCACGCATGCGCACTAAACCCAACTTTATCAATTCATGCTGCTTTGTGYTATGTCAGACCAACATGCCTAAGGTGTATTTCTTTTGACTTTTCATGGTTTTAGGTCTACAGCTGGAAAAGTGAAGAACTAAATATCTTTAGTGCTCGRACCCCCTTTGGCAACAGTGTTGCAGAACGGAAGTACATTGACATTAATTAATATCCTCTTTAGGCTTTTGATCCGATAACGAACTTCAAGGTAATCGGTAATTGCCATATTTGAGCAATGGTTGTGGGTCTTAGACGAAAACCAATRTGTAAGCAACACAGTGCAATTAATAAAGGATACAGTATAAAATAGATTTTAGTTTAGAAGTGAAGCACCAAATCCTGACTAAGATATAATTTATTGCGTCCAAAGTCTGATTATTATTGACAGCGTTTTCAGGATGCTGAGTAAAGACAGCTCGGTAATGTCATAAACAAAGAAAGAATTCAGAAAATGTTATTATAGGAAGTCTAGCTATAGAGTGGTCATGTGTGGAAAAGAAAAATGGGTAGGTTTTTCACGTTTAAATCTGTCATGATTCAGCGCTGGATAAAAAAATAACTAAATAATTAAAAAAAAAAGAGAAAGCAAAATGTTACCTTGAAAAAGTTTAGTGAGTTGCCATGGAAACGAATAAATTTTGCTACGTAATAGGAATGTTGATTTATTATTAAATGTTRAAGATTGTTATGATGTTCAATTTGTATAGGAAATCGAATGGTTTCGAGTGCAATTTGAAAAAAATTAGCACGAGTGAAGCTTAAAAATTAATAAGATGTCAATTTGCTGCGGTTTTTTGTTGTTAAAAATACTACTACTAATAATGATAATAAAATACATTGAATGTAAATGTAAATAGCTTTGATAATTATTATTTTTTTGATTTTTTTTTCAACTGTGATTTCAACGTTTTGCACTGTGATTTCACGTTTTTGCAGTGTGATTTGGGAAAAATCACGGAGTAGCCAACCAATCAGAATCGAGGTTTTTGATGGTCATGTTRTTAGACACACAAGAGAACATCGTAACAGTTTTGATCAAGGAAAACAGGAAGATGTTTTGTATAATATCACTGAAATGCTCTCTTGAGGACTGGGTTAGTCGGTCAGCATCAGTCTTTCACTTGCTGCATCTAGCTAGCCGTCTTCATTTTTTTGATGATGCAGGTTATTTTAATCCCTTTTTGATTAGTTAACTTATTTTAAGACAAAGAAGTACATTACCACTATACTATTTGTCAGTGGAATTTCTCAAATATTTCAGAAGTTGCTGATTTATTCATTCCTATAGGTCAAAAAAATATATATATATATATTCATTAACACTTACCTTAAAATATTGTATTTCATTTATCATAAAGGCGAGTGGGCATAGCTGTGTCATCGTATGCTTCCTCTGAGATTGATTTCAACGTRCCCTAGTGCACGAAAGTGAACCTTATTTAACTTTGACTGTATGTAAACTGAAATATTTTCCAGCATTCTAGTTAAAGATTTAACGAAGGGCGGATGGATGGAAAAGATGTTCATGTAGAGTGTAATTAATTAAGTTACAAAGACTCTTTTTTTTCTCAGCCGGCATGATATTAGTTCTAGAAGCCATCCACAAACTATATATGACGGGATAATTTTTAATAATAATTTCGATAACTTTGAGAATTATATAATTTGAAGCGCTAAAATAATGTCAATCATGACTGGATATCAGTATTTAAGATAAATGTTCACATTTTTCTATAAATATATAACCTTATAAGGCYTTGCCTTAACGAAAGTGATCAGCTGATTGAATCGGGGATAGGTTGTATTTTTCTCATATTGACATCTCTTCAGCGTAGCAATAGCGTAGCTCATTGAAACCTTATCATGCTTTTGTTATACCGGGACGCTGCGGCTGAGACAGACTGTCAGCGATAACCTTTCTTTTCCTCTTTCTTTTTTTTGTTGAGAAAGCACTGATACAAACAGGACGGGGGTACTTGAATCACTCAGAAAACAATATCTCGGGCCTGGGGCTAGCGCTCTTTTGCTACCAACAAATGTTTCATCGATTAATATCTGACCAATGATACCTGGCCATAAATGTACTAATTTTTATTAGTAGGGAGTAAAAGGGGGGGAGGGGGCGTGGGAGGGACTGTCTAGAAAATACTATACAAATATAATATTTGTTTAAAAACCATAAATATAACGATTATAGAATAATTATAGAATAATTATAGAATAGAATTATAGAATTATGAATTGAACTTGATAATAACTGCATTGAACTGAACTAAACTGAAATTTGGAAAAACTTTAATACATACGCTTCCATATTAATGTGATATATTAGAATATGTATTCTAATTCTTCCTACATCATGCTATAACAGGCATGTGATAAAATAAAGTTCATATCATCATGGTACTGCAATAGATATGTAATCTAGAACTCTGGCCAACGCGAATATATAAAACATGTTCACCAGTTTTGATATTTATCTATTTCCGGTCCGGTAT